CACTTAAATGTAATTATTCAAAATGGAATCATTTAATTAGATAGGAAGAGAAATAGCAAGCCCTGAGATGATAATAAAGAATAAAATAAATATGCTGACCGACTGAAGCAAAGCAACAGATAGATAACAACACACACAAGATAGCTCCATTTCAGTTTTTCAATTCAGGATGTACGTCAACAGGATAAACACACAGTTATATACCTTGCTTTTGCTGGGTTCCCAGAAAGCAGAGAGCACGACTGATATTGATAACTCCATAGAGTGGCAAGAATTCTACACCTCATGCCTCCTTGGGAAAGCCTGAGGAAGAGGAGCAAAGTGGAGGAAGGAGATGAAAGCAGGGTGTGGCCGAGACTCTACAGACCCCAAGTGCTTCCTAACCAGCAATTAGGAAGGAGGCTTTTATCCACCTGGATGGGACAGGTTATTTTATACCAACTGGATCTACTTGGCCGGCAGCTGGAGAGCAAGACAACGCAAAGTCCTTTGCATGATGTTCCAGCAACAGGCATGGAAACATTTCAGAGGAGTCTGTACCATGAACTAGCCCTTGGAAACGGAACTGCATGCACGTGCTTCTTTTGGGCTACGAGATAGCCAACAGGTCCGGGCGTCCTCCATGCTATACCAGGGCCCGATCTTACCCTTCCCCTGGCGAAACTGCAGAGCCCTAGAATGTATGGCAGCCTTTACTTCTCTCCTATTCCCCCGCCCCTGCTAGCCTCCAAGCACTGACATACAAAAAGATCTCTTAAAGCACTCGTTCAACAACGCAACAGAAGACGTTCTTCACAGGGCCCAGGACAAGGCACCCCGAGAAAGAACACCTCACACTTAAGAGCCAGAAAGACCAATAAAAGTTACAAAATGATACAAGTTTTATAAGGAAGTCTGCTCATTGATTGTAAAGGGCTGAACAGTTGGTTAATAATATAATCCCTTAGGGCGCCTGGGTGGCTCAGTTGGTTAGGCGACTGCCTTCGGCTCAGGTCATGATCCTGGAGTCCCGGGATCGAGTCCCACATCGGGCTCCCTGCTCAGCGGGGAGTCTGCTTCTCCCTCTGACCCTCCCCCCCTCATGCTCTCTCTCTCTCATTCTCTCTCTCTCTCAAATAAATAAAATCTTTAAAAAAATAATAATAATATAATCCCTTAAACTGGTTAAAAAAAAAATTACCTTCCCCCCACCACCTCCCCCAACACCTAATTAGGAATGATTTGAGGCCGAAGCAGCTGCTTTTCAGACCTCTCTAGGGCTTTCCTGGCTGCTCAGTCACCTTGGGCTTGACTTTTGGGGAGGTGGAGAGGATGAGAAAAGGTCCTGAGAGAAGTGTCCCTTTGGCCCGGTGTCCTCTCTCGACTCTCTGCTGCTGTGCCTGACTTACTCTCTTCAGCCAGACTGGAAGTTCATGTTCATGGATAGAAATATTCCTGGGTTAACATTTCTTCTTCATTGTGGCTTAGCTGCTTCGGATTTGCTACAGTCACCATGGGCTGCTTTAACTACTGAGCGAGGCGAATTCGGCTGTCCGATGATCCATTCTTGAACTTTTCCCATGCTCCAGACTATTTCATAAGAATGGTGCCATCATCAGTAGTCAGTAAGCTTTTATTGAGTGCCTACTGTGTGCAAACGATAGAATTATCGTTATCTGTCACAGTCCTGGGAAGCAGAATGTTGCTGCACTGAAGGGAGGGAGGCCGGATAACTTCCTATTCCTGGACGTGGGGACAAATTACTTACCCTCAGTTTGCTAATCAGGAACATGGGAATAAACAACAGATCTTACCTCGTAGGGTTGCCAGGAGGATTTGATGAAAAGTACAGAGCGAGACGAAGAGTAAACAGTTCATGTTGGCTACTGCTATTGCCAGCCACATTGTTATCATCACTTTGACATGATGGGTAAAAAACACGAGGTTTGCTAAATGGGTTCCCGAGGGGGCCGGGAAGAGGAGGCAATGTATGGGAATCTGCTCATTTGTTGGATTTTTTTCCTCCTCTAAAGCAGTCATTTTTAATTGGCATACGTTGGTGTCATTAATTTTCTCGGAGAGTACCAGTGTGACACTTCGAGCAAACAAGAGATAAACTGCCGCTCAAGCTACAAAATGGCACCTGCTTTTATCTAGCAGGAGTGATATTTTTATATTATGAAGTTGAGGCTGATAAACAGGAAAGAGACAAGTGCTGTTCGATACTACCTCTCTGAGTAACAGACGATAAAACGGTGAAAACGGTGAGGAGAGCAACTTAGGAAAACACTTTCCAAGGTTCCCATGTCAAGAAAAGCACTTAAGAAATGGGCTTTTGAGGGGCGCCTGGGTGGCTCAGTCGTTGAGCGTCTGCCTTCGGCTCGGGTCATGATCCCGGGGTCCTGGGATCGAGCCCCGCGTCGGGCTCCCTGCTCCGCGGGAAGCCTGCTTCTCCCTCTCCCACTCCCCCTGCTTGTGTTCCCTCTCTCACTGTGTCTCTCTCTGTCAAATAAATAAAATCTTTAAGAAAAAAAAAAATAGCAATGGGCTTTTGAGGCGATTTCTATTCTCACACCTTTGCACATATTCACAAGTTTTTTTTGCCTTGCTTTGCTTCCGGCCTCCTCCCCACCATACAGGGCTCAGCCGAGCACTGGTATGACCAAGGCTGCTCTCTACATTTATGGGTCCTTTCACTTTGGGGAGTCAAAGCATTCAAGTTAACACAATAATACAACTCTCAAGAAATAGGGAGTAAAGGTTAAAAAGAGACCCAGAAAATGAATTATGGTTGGATTTGGCGACAAGTGGGAAACTTCCCACTTTCCGAAATTCCTTTTTGATCCATTCAAGGCTGAAGCTTCCAAGATCAGAGGGCTACTCTGACATTGGACAGGTGGAATTCAAGCCGGCCGTGATCCGGAATGTAATGGAAAGTGAAACTAGATCCCTTGCCCCAAGCTGAGTCACCTGTGCCTTCCTTAGAAGAGTGACAACACCGACCAGCAGAGAGAGGCAGGAAACCTCTGAAGACGAGCCGCCACGCTCGACTTTGTTTTTCCCCATCTCACTCGATTCTGTTGCCACCAATCAAATCCAGTCCACTTGTTGATGGGGCTATGGGGACGGTGAAAGCACCTAGAGACTCAATAAAAGGGGCTGATCTTTTGACGAAGAGAATGTCATTCAGAAAGCTCATGTATTAACTGATAAAGACATTTTCTCTACCAGGTATAGAAGTCAAGCTCTTCTCTTCTTAAATCTCAGGTGTTGACATACAGTGGGGTGCCAAATCAGTTAATTAACAAATATTTACTGGACACACACCATATACTCTGAAGTACCCCACTGGCAATAAATCTTATGTTTGTGTCCAAGTAATGATAGGGCAGATTCTACTAGGGAAAAACAAGAAAAAGCCCTTCAAACCTATCGTTAATGAAATGTCACTCCATGTTACTGTGATCATATAATTTTGTGAGCATTTATCTCATCACAGCAGAATGTTATACAATCAGGGGTTCTAACAGATGTTCTAGAACTCAACTATAAGGCAGTGAATGGGAATGTTGAAGCTAAGGATGTCTAGACATTCTTTGTTCCCAAACCAGAGGACTAACTGTTTAAATTATGCATCTGAGGGTAGGTTAAGTTTGTAGAAAAATAATAATATACTCCTGATTTGTTTCTCTGTATTTTGGAATACTTGGGATTTTACTCACAAACTAAGCCATTTTAACAGATGTTTTTATGTTCTGTATATTCATTATATTCCTTCAACCTCTGCGTCAAGTTGTGTTTTCTATGGCTTGGTCATGTTTTCATCTCCACCACCTCCTTCTTTATCACATAGACTGTTTTTCAATACTCTTCAATCTCTTGAACTCAAGAGAAGAGTCCCTTCTACACAGTTTGTGTCTCTAAAATTCTATTCAACTGAAATACAAACGACTGATTTATAGAAATTTAGAAGTACTTTTCTTGATTTAAAAATGCTTCACTCAGTCTCACTGATGAAGTTCACTCAGTCTCACTGATGAAGTTCAAACTTTTTTTTTTTTTTAAGATTTTATTTATTTATTTGACAGAGAGAGACACAGCGAGACAGCGAGAGCAGGAACACAAGCAGGGGGAGGAGGGGAGGGAGAAGCAGGCTTCCCGCCAAGCAGGGAGCCCGATGTGGGGCTCGATCCCAGGACCCTGGGATCATGACCTGAGCTGAAGGCAGACGCTTAACGACTGAGCCACCCAGGCACCCCTGAAGTTCAAACTTTTAAACCATGCGTATGCTAAGGTCAGTTTTCTTATAGTGGCTCAACTGCAAATCTGTATCTCTACTATAGAACTCAGTTCTGGGTTCTGCATTTGATCATGGCCCTGGAAGGTACTAGCCTCTATGAAGTGAATAGCAATAGTTTAGACTGGAGAAATTACAGGAAAGGTAGAAATCATAGGAACTATGAGGGAATCTTGACTGGAAACACTTTAGAAACAACTGAATGAAATCTCTACTCTTTATGAAAGGCTATATTAGACCTGTTTGTACACTAATAGCAACCCACCCCCCACGTATATAGATTTCACTTACAGATGGTTGAAAAGTAATTTTCTATGATCCTATGATACTTTATGTAATTATCTGTAATTACATTGACACAAGGTAAAAACAGTCAACTTAAAATAATATAAAGTATTCAAGACAATTACTAGGCTAAGCAACATTGTTTTTTGTAAGAGAAAGTGTCACATGCAACAAAGTGGCAAAAACAGAAAGGAGTGAGCTGTGGTTAAGTGTAAATCCTATAGCAATGAAAGTCATTTGTATTATCCTTACTTCTTTGAATAAATTCAGATGACAGCTCTATTTCATTTCTTCATTCAGTTTGGAGGCCAGATGGCATTAGAATCATTTACTTCACCTTGTTGTGCTTAATTACTACAATCAACACACTATTTTCCAAATTAATCATAACAAAGTAATTTCATTAGTAACACAGCAGGCTGTTGAATTATTAGCATCATAACAGTTTGCAAACAATTAAACTTTATTTGAACCTTAAAAATTTGCAGAGTGGAACATTATTGTAAGATCTAATGGCAATAGAGTACAAATTCAGTACAGAGCAAATAATCAAGCAAAATGCTATATAAAATATGACTCACAATCACCTTTGAAAAAAATTAGCTCTCTAACTGTTCATAGAAAAACAAATAAAAGCTAAGCAAACATAATGAGAACATAGCAATTAGCATATTTTCTAACAAGCCGTGTTGTTCAAATGCACATTAATGATATTATTATGATCTTGAAGGGAGTGTGATATATTGTCAAGGGTATAAAGAAAACTTTCTCCCTGGTAGCATACAAATGATTTCGCCAAATGAATAGAAAGTAGTCAGGAGTTGAAAGTAATGATTATTTTTCCCGTCACTCTCATTTTAAATCTTTTGTTTCCTTTCCTATCTCCCACCTATATTCAAGTTAAACAAGAACAAAGGCCGGAGGAGCTCTGGACAGAAGTAACACTTTATATCTGTACTGTCACCATTCACAGAGACTATCCGGCTTGGAACTGTTGGTCATCAGTTGGCAAAGGACTCCCTCTCCTGGATTAACTGTAAAAGGAGGCAAAAATCTTTTACATGCTTTACATTCTGCTCAAGTTGGGGCCTGAGTGGGGGAGGGGTCGCCCAGCGGTCGGGTATGCAATGAAAAGTTGCTGCCACCTACTGGCCCAGCCCTGGAATCTTCACTTAAAGCAGAAGCCAGAAACCTGTATCCATAACCGAAGACTATACGTTCAGGGGAAACCCACAACTGCTTTTTGCTTTTCAATCTCTCAGGCTTTGAAAAAAAAGACCACTAAATTTATCTCCAGTTGTCTCACTTTTGCCAAGATGATTTCAATCGACTCCAATGGCCCTCCATTAGGAAAAGATTAACGAGTATACAAATTAATTTCTGAAAGCTTTAACTTGACAATGTCTAATTTATGTAAACTAGAGTTTACCCACAATCCCGAAAACTAAAAAAATCTATTTCATTACGTTTGAACTCTGATGATCACAGTATTAAGAAGACAATGGTAAAATATAAGTTCTGAAATATTGCTTATAGTTTTCTATAAATAAGGGGGGGTTAAATATTATCAGTATGTTCACAGCTAGAATCTTTATAAAGCAAAGATCTGGAAAGTTCAACAAAGGTAGTACCCACTAATTCAATATTAGGTGAATCTATAATGATCCAATCAGCAGTACATTTATATATATATATATCAAGGCCACACTGATACCCTGTCAGCATTTACAGTCCCTTTGATTTCAAATATACATGAAAAGGTAATGTCATAATTGCACAAAGTTCGCTCAGGCAGCACAGCATATTCCTCCAAAGTCAGACTCACACTACCTTTCCACTCACCTCTGGGTGTATGGTCCCACCATGATTTCTAGGCTCTCCTCTCTGAGGCCTTCCTTTTCTTTTCATTGCTCTGAGAAGCACAGAGGAAACTCACCTCTGGAGTGCTACTGTTTTGTGGTGGGACTTTATTGTATTGTATTTTATTTTGTGGTGGGACTTTAATAGCCCAGCAATGATCAGGCAGGATAAGACAGCACTCCACTAGATCTTCTTACTTTGAGAATACACTGAGATTCTTTATGCTGCTGTATGATGCAGAAGGGGCTTTTTTATGAATTTTTTATTTTATTAAATTTAAACAAAACTGTGGTGGAAAATGTTGGCCAGCCCATCACCGAACCGGGCTGTTTGTTACTGATAAAGGGTTTCGCACACACCATGGTTCTGGGCTGCACGTGTGTCCCGGGGGCCAGCATGCTACCATCTGCGATTCTGTCATTCTTTCTTTCCTGTGGCTTTCTTCAACATGAAGGAAAAATCAGTAAAAATTCTTTCATGAAAACATGTCACTGTTGTGTGAAAAATCAGTACTACGATCGATCGTCTACAAAGTTTTAACAAAGCCACATTCTTTAGATGGCATCTACCGAAAGCTTGCATGATATATTCAATTAAAATTTCCATGAAATTATATATTACATTCTAAAATGTAATTGACATGCACTATGAAGAGAAATTACAACTCCTACCGAAAGGAGCAGTGACTGTGAGGTACATATAAAATCGGGCTGAATTCTTCACACAAATCAAATGAGTAAATAAAAACTATATTTACTTCTTCGCAAAACAGCAACAGGTACAACTTTACTGCTTGCCTCTAATTTACATTAATATTCTTTAATTTTATATCAGAGGAATATTATAATGAATGCATAAAATAACAAAGACAAATGTTCAACAAAACACAAAAAGGTTATGAGCTGCCACTCATGCTCTCAAGATGATTCTAAATCCAAAGCATTTACAGACCAGCAGGAGAATCTTCTTTTTATGTAGGCAGAAAGGGAAAGCTGCATCTGAATTTTTTTTTCTTCAGGTGAAATGTTGATTTTTCCTGCGTAGAAAAAAAAATACACTTGTAGGCAAGGAAAAATGAATATTTACTCAATATTTGGTCAATTCAGCTCCTCAGAAAGGCCAGAAAGAGTGGTATTTTACTCAAGAGGAGAAGGTTTGGGAAAACATCCAGTTATTAGCAAAGGGACTTCCTCTAAATAATCCATTTCCAAAGTAAATTCTATGAGTTATTTTAAAATTTGAACTAGATTTTTAAAAAAAGAAGAAGATGATGTGGGAGCATGATCTTTGTGCTATCAGAAAACTACAAAGACTTTTTAAAAGGCAAAGACTCATAACGCAGAGACCAAGAGAACATATGAGCTATTACAGAATATTGGATTAAAATGTACTTACCCAGGACTCTCAAATATCATACATCTCCATTATGTAGGCTTTCGGCACCAAGCCAATGGCTCCCTTCATTTCTCCTACCCACCAGCCATATCTATTGTATTCCTAATTGAAAACAATATGCAATATTAACCTTTAGACTGGTAGAAGTACAATGTCGTTCATATGCAACTTCTTAGAAATGGTATTTCTTTTTATAAAGTTACAAGAGCTTGAGCTGCAAATTGAAACATTTTAATCTTTTTTTGTTTGTTTCTGGACACTTAAAAATGCTGTTAGGCAAAGATTTAAATTAACATCTAAGACAAAGCCTGTTTATTACTCTGTACAGAACACAGAAACAGTCACTTGGGATAAGAACCTAGCAAATGGAACTACATGAGGAAGTCAGCTCCCTAGGCCCATTTCCCTTCTCCCTCCCTCCCTTCTCTCTCTCTCTCTCTCTCCCCCCCTCTCTCTCTCTCTCTCACACACACACACACACACACACAACCTGGGGAGACACCTTTTCTGTGCAAAAACCAGTGCCAGAAGCTACAAGGTTACAGCCAAGATACTTAGGATATGATCTTGGCCTTCAAGAAACTTATCATCTAGCAAGGAAAGAATTATTTTTTCACAATAAACTGACTCCTAGTTAAACTGATATGACTGAAAATTATTTAGAATGCAGAGCTATGCCCCTTAAGAAAAATCTAATATGTGAGTATAGATATTTTAAACAGATAAATGAGGGACTAAGAAAACACTAATAATATCCAAAAATATTTGCTTTACAAAATAATTTTTAGAGGCTCCTTTTAAAAAGCTTCCCAAAGGCACTTATTGTTAAGCTTGCACTAATCAAAAACTGCATTAGATAAAGGATGGGTGGTAGGAATTTGAAGGTGGTGTTAGTTTCAGCCTTACAGTAGTATCTCAAGTTATAAAGGCGAAATATTAATCTAGCTGTAAAAAAGAGTGACTGATGAGTCCCTTTTGCATTTACTTTGCAATGTGAGATAAACCTATACCTGCCCTTCTCCCCTTTGCCTCCACTGACAGATGCACCACTGCTTTGGGCATGATGAACACACTGCAACGGGTCTCATATGTCTGCCAGATTGACTAATGTATTTTTATCTCAAATTTATTTATGTTTAGTGAGATACAAACAAAGTAAAATGAATTACAAGTTTCAAGAATAATATCTTCCAAAAGCAATACTCTGCAAAAGCACTGTAGGACCCAAATTTAATTTTTCATATAAGATAAATTTTTAAAATCAATCCCCAAAGTAATTCAATAGGTTATGATTTTCCAACATCTGAGTCATAGATAAATGTGCATATGCATATTGAGTTACATGTGGGGAGGGAATGTCCACACTGGCACGGATTTAACATCTGTATTGATTAGTATATGCTACTGACCATCAGAAAGGAAAATCATACAATTCCTCAGTACAAATGTAGCAATGTTAGCATGTGTGTATTGATATGTAGCCTATCAATAGAGAGAATACCAGGTTAAAAATCTATATGTGCTTTTTAAACAGTGGGTTGTACCAGAATCAGGTTTATTGGAAGAATAAGGTGGAAGGAAAGGGGCGGGGGTGGTCAGGCTAACCCTACACTTCCTATTCTAATGAGGGCACAGTTCTGGCTCATGAGGCACAGGACTCAAGATTTTAAGTTTAAACGTTCAATGTTAGAGTGAATTTTTTTGTGGATAAAACTATCTACGTGATGAAAATAGTCTGATGTCTGAACTCAGTGATGGTGACTATAATCTACGTAGGATCTATTTATCAGAAGAAAACACCAACTTACTGAAAGCTATGATTAGCAACCATTATATCTTAATAGGTACTTAATAAAACTGCCCTTTTCAATTTTTAAGGCAGTGAATACAATTAGGGCCTAATGCTTCACAAAACAAATGTATTTAACCTTCCCGAGGCAAAAGGCCTACATTGTAAGATTTCAAAATGGATGGTTACCAGGGCAAGTCTGAATATGAAAGCTCTTAGCCAATGCCAATCTAACATTTTTTTTAAAAGTGATTATTTGTAAAGAGTAAAGGAGCTGCCCCCACCCCCAACAGGCAGACAGAACATACTCAGTGTGAGGGCATATGAAGACCCAAATCTGCTTTCCAAGAACAGCCCTCAATCTGGGGCTCAAGGTTAAATGCAAGTGACAAACAAGAATGCTCACATCACTTTATAATATTCCACTTTGGTTATAATCTGTACTCTCAAGGAAGGGCATATTATTGTTCTCAAAAAGCTCACTGACATCCAAATTTAAGAAATTGATTTCCAAAGAATCATTTCACCAAAGGACCAATGACATACTTCACACTTGAGATAATTCTGCCTGACGGTCACTGGTAAGACTTATTAAACAGAAAGGACAGTTGGAAACAGGAGGGAGGAGCTTATTCAGCTGCAAACACATCCCTTAAAAGTAACATTCTAGGAAAACATAAAAGTTTCAGACTAAAATAATCTTAAATGCTTCACTTAATTTAAAATAACTCAAGAGCACAGGAAATTTGCTCATAAAAATACTCTAAAATATCACAGGTTTAAATCAGAAAAGGGTAAAAAATCAGAATGTTTATTACTTTACATTTGTAAAGAATTCCATCGAATCCTCCTGTGTGGAATTAAGAGGTAAGATAAAATACAGTGAGGTAAAAATCTAGGAGGCAAATTTATGGATTTACACTGTGGCCATTAGGGTATGTCGACAAGATTGCAAACACAGAAGCTTTTACTTTTATCATTACCATCCTCTGTATGAGCCTCCTGAGCAACATGAATCCCAATTAAACCATTTGCAGCCTATAAATTGGAATGAAGATGCTTCTTGGAGTACGGTATTCTAAACTTGAGCCTCAAGATTCAATACCATAAAAGCTTTCCCTTTGAAGACGAGAATCGGCCTCTTTGCCTTCCCTGTTTGCCGTGCCCAATAAATGTGATTGCAAATGACACAGTACTTACAGTGGGAAATAATGCAATCCATACAGTGTTACCTTACCGTCCACATACTAATTATAGGATTGTTCTAAAAGTCACAGGTGGGTCATTAAAAAAAAAAAAAGATAAACAGTCCTCAAGCCTTATCTTGTTATTAAACAAAAAAACAAAGAGACAAAACCATACCAGGCTGCCATCTAAATCTCTGAAAGGTTAGGAAGCATCATGTCATCTTTATGGCACACGAGATCTCAGGTACAAGAAGGTCTGCCATCTGGTATCCTTCACCCTACTCGGCTCTTAACATCAACTAAAACGCTAACACAGGCAAGTGACTGTGCTTCGGGAGGCCTGATAAAATAATGAAGAGTCCTTTAATCTACAGGAAACCATTCCAGTCAATTTATAAGAAATATTGCATCCCTTTGTAGGACGTGTAATTATTTTCTATTAATCAAGTGCTATAAAGCTACATTATGCGGTTATTCTGTTATCACTAGAAAGAGGCCTGCAGTCAGCTTCTGACAATGTTAGGTAATTACTAACACAAAGCTGCTTTCTCCTCCCGTAGTAATGCTATCAAGATCCAGAGGTATAGTGATGCTTATTGTATAAAAATAGTACTCAAAAGAAATTCAATATCTGCAAAATGGATGGCTTCCAGGCAAAATGTAATGTGGCAGTCAAAGAAGCAAAAAAAAAAAAAAAAAAAAAGCCAAACTTGCCCAATAATCCAAGAAAATAATCGTAAAGTGGTGCGGCACCATTGTGCTCTAACTCCTCTGTTTTCAATTTTCCTGCCATTAAAATAGTTTTTATTTGTTTTATTTTGTAGTAAAATTTTCGGCCTCAGCTAATAGTTACTAGGCAATAAATGCAAGCGATTATGTAATCGGGGCAGGGAGAAAGGATTAGTCCTGATCATGTGAAACCAGCATGACAGTAAACATATGTCCATGTTTCCTCATTCACTAAATCTTTGCTCTCTGCCAGTCTAAGGCCCCGACATTCACAGGAATCCTTCCTCAGCACTATGATTCTCGTTTTCTCAAGTGTGTTACTCCACTTTCTGCAAACTGTGGGTAAAAGAATGTTACCTTAAGAGAAACTTGAAACACTTTAAAAGATTTCCTGATATGTACTACCCCTTCCAGAAACTAGTTACCAACCTGTCTGAATGCAACAGGTGTTAGAAAGGTGGAAAGACTACCTGTCCTTTCTCCAAACATGTATCCGTGCTTTGAAACATACTTCCCTTCTGCAGAAATGAAGTTAATTTTATTCACAAAATATAAAATGCACTGAGTTTCATAACCAGTGGACTTTACCATTGTTTTCCAAGTATTCACTGTGATAGTCTCAATTTTTCATAAACATTGTGGTAGTATGAAAACTAGATGCCTATTTAAAACACAGAAATCCTTTCTTCAAGCCTGCCTCTGCAATCTCTTCCTTTTTACTATCTCCAACTAGAAACTTTCTAAGATTCCTTTCATTTCTCATACCTGTCATTTCATCCCTGAAAATGCATAACAGCAACCTGACAACCCCAGTGTTTTACTATTATTATCTAGATATTAACTCCTTGAATCTTCATCTCCTGAGCTGATAAATGAGGAAATCGACACTAACCCTCTCTAAGGTCCTCCATGATGTCTGAACACACCCTCCATGAACCTGCTTTAAGACACTGAGTCTCTTAGCGGCTTATGGAAATCAACCTCATTACTTTATAATTCACTGTGCAGGTGTGACTTTGAGTTACGCTAATTCGAAGAATTACTATTTTTTTCCTCTCTGTACTGTGCGCTCCGTTTTGCAAGCAAGAGAGACAAAGGACAAGCAAGGAAGCTGATAGTAAGAATTCAGTTATTATAACAAATTTTAGTTTATATTCCAGAGTCAAGACACATTTAACTCAAGTTTCTACACAGTCCACATTTACAATACCGCACAGCAAAAACTGCTATTCGGTCTGATGATTCAGACTGCTATTCAGACTGATGGTAGGCAAAGAAAAGATCGAATCATATTCAGTAGAAAGTGGCCTCGGTACTTGTTGTATTTCACTGACCAGTAGGAGACTCCGTTAACTGTTCTCAGGCTCACCCACCTGTCTATTCCAACTGTCGCCACT